TGCACTGAAGTGAGGAATAAGCGCAGAAAGGAAGGGCACTAGGTTTCTGGTTAAACAGCAGGAGTGCGTGTAAGGAGACCAGGCTTTAGGTCTGCAACATTTCTGATGGTACTGCATTCCAATAGGGGGATGCACCAGGGTACCTACAGCATAGTAGCGTAAGCTTTCAGAAGCTGCTGAGACCTGCAGGTCCAGATACCATCCACAAAACAGGGGGCTGCCAAGAGGCCTGGACTGTCAGTCACTGTTCATTTTGTCACTCTCATTTCATACAGTCTGGAGGTGCCAACAACGCTGTGATGCTCCTTGGACAGCACATCACAGAATCTCAGTATTTCCTGTTTCTTTTTTTTTTAAGCAGTTGAGGACATTATGCACAAAAAATGTACTATGCTATCCTGGGCAAGCTACTTTCACTACACTTTTTACAGGGGCTTACCACTTGTGTTCTCACTTTCTGGATGTCTGATTCAGAACGTTCTCCGTTTTATAAAAAGACTGAGACTACAACTGCTCATGAAGGCAACGGGAAGGGGCAGAATATTGATGTTAAACGCCCTAAAAAAAAAAAGTCCAAAGGCTATTATGTGCTTTGGATGAGCCTCTCCATAGCTCACCTCCCCATCTGTGAGAGAGAGAGAATTTCAGATGCTCTGAAAAGTAATTTGTGCAGCCCCCAGATATTGTAGTGATGAGCAGCAAGGAAAAGGTCATCAGGGGAATCAGTAATTCTGTCTTCAGGGCAGGACTGAGCAGAAGCACAATCAATAAGACATATTGACCCATTGACCCATGAGGATAACACACACTGTGGAGTAACTCAGGAATAAGTACCACCCATATCATTAGGGATGGTGCTATGAGGAATACGCACAGCAGGCTGAGCTAAGGCCACCCAGGCCAGTTTGGGATTGTCTAATTTTCCACTGCTCAGTTTTGCAACTTTAATCATGTTCTTTAGTGTAAGAATATTTTCATGTGTGTGTGCAGTATGGATTAAGGCACTATAGAGAACTGTTTGGATCCAAGCCAGCATGCCATAAAGCCACCTCTTATGTGGAGATGATACTTCTCCTGAAGTGTACTTTGGGTCAAAGCTGCATAATCCTGGTGAAGCGCTCAGAGAATATAGCAGTGCAATAAATAACACCCTATCTATTGTTCCTGCCATGGTCAATAAGGTATTCAAAACACAGAGCAGAGCCATGGGACTCCCCTAGAGGAAGGGGAGAGCTGGCTGAATGGAGGACAGGCCATACACTCTCTCATTGCTCTGGTCCTTATTGGTGTCCCATGCCCCTTGCCAGTTCCCTCCTCTGGCCTCCTTTTTCCTTACTCTTAGGGCAGCTGTTCAAAATCCAGAAAATGAATATCTGTAGTGTTTGCTGCTTTATTTTTTCATTCATAAGCAGAAGAAGACGCAGTTAATTTTTTTCACCTACGCTGCCCTTTTGCCTCGACGTGTCCGTGCTCAGCAGAATCAGGGTTAGCACAGCCCAGGTCAGACCCCCAGATTCCTGTCTCAGTTCCCTTCTGCAGAGCTGCAGGAACAGGGAAGCAGGTAGTACCCACTGCACGCAGGTTTCCTGGTGCTCTCTGCTTGCAGCCTGTGGGGGAGTTGGAGATAGCAGTATCTTATTGCACCTGAAAACAACAAAATGATTTGGAATTTCAGTCTGATTTTCTATACTTAGTCTGACCCTTCACTGCATAAACGACTCACTGCTGCTGTAAGAGCTTTTCCATGCGTTTTGCAGAAGGAAGAAACTCTTACTTTCGTATTACTTTAATTACTAGTTGCAAAAATAAAGCTACAGCAACAAACTGTTCAGCATAACAAAATTCTGTTCATGAGAGCTATGAAGTAAAGTACTTGCCAAAACACAAAGGAATCTGTAGTTTAAACACAAGGCTGGAACTGGATGTTATATAAGAAACTGAAGTGATACACGGAGAGCAGAGAGCTACCACTCTGTTCTTGACAAATAATGCTCAGGCAAAATTGTCTCTCTGCTCTTGCAGGTTCATGATATCAAATTTCAAGCTCCAACTTTGGAAGAAAAGGAATCATGGATAAAAGCTCTTAATGAAGGGATCAATAGAGGCAAAAACAAAATATTTGATGAGGTAAGAGAAACAGTTTTCAAGCTCATGTGTTTCTGGGTCAGTTCTCATTCACTGCTTTTTTAGCTAAAAGCAGATCTTGCCTGAGACCCCAAGCTGCCTGTCCTTCTCGATGCCAGGCACAGACATAGCAAAGAGAGCGCCCATGCAAGGCAGACCAAGTTGCAACCCTGCAGGCTGAGGGTTGTTAGTCACTTCAGCTCCTACCCCAAGAAGCTAGAACATCTACCCTTGTACATCATGCTACTTTTCCTTCTCTTCTGGCCATGGTAAACTCCTCGAGATGCAGGGAGGTGGGGGTAGCAGGACGAGTACATGGTGTGCCAGAGGCATGTTCTCTGCTCCCGAAAAGGGCCATGGGACACCAGAGCCCACTGAAGTCAGTGAGAGATGGTCTGGTGGCTTCAGTAGGTTTTAGATCCGGCCCTCAGTGAATCCACAGGTGTTCCCCGCTCCCCATGGAAGTGACTGGTGCATGGCAGCAGCTGCAACTCTGAATTGTGGTAGTGCCTGGGTTGCAGCACGGAAAGACTCTTCTTCCCCATGCTGTCAAGATTCTCAGCACCAAACAGCCTGGAAACTGATGTATTTGGTTAGGATTTAGCCCAATCTTCAAGGCTAGAAAGAATCTGAAGTGACCTAGTCTGCCAGCTCTTCTGCCTGCAGTGTGGAGAGAAGTCCAGTGGAAACTTACTCCATGGCTCCTCAGACCATCTACTCTCTGGGGCCTTGACCAAACCTGCCTGGCTGCCAGCGTACCTGCACTCCCAAACTCCCTCTCATCCTGATGTGCAGAAGGAGGATGAAAATCGCACATCTTGGAGCCTGACATAATCTTGCTTTCGTCCCCATTAGCTTGTCACCAGCCAAACCAAAAGAACTGAACTAAACCAAAGGAGCAGTATCTGTTCTTCAGTTGTTTCAGTAACGGAAAGGAAGTGCACAAAACCACCACCATGGGAATGACACAAGAAAAAATGGGCAGGGTGACTAGGGGACGAAGAAATCAGCAAGATCTGTTTAGCAAAGGAAACTAAAGAAATGAGTAAAAGTTTTGAGAAAGGGGCTCAGCACTGCAGATGTGGTGCTACAGAATGTGAATTTCGAAAGCTCAGGCTGGAGGCCGTAACTCAGAGATGCTCACAAGAAACTGGAGTAAGCGGAGGCTCCAGCTATATCACAGCTCCTAAAGCTCCCGTTTAGGAAATCCAGGCTTTGCTTTTATTCAGCACAGGACAAAAGCTGGATGAGAGGCTGGAACGCGCTCCTCCTTTGCCTAGGCAAATCACATTCAGTGTGAGGCTTTTGCTGGTAGCATGGTTTGGCTGTTCCTTGGGCCCTTGGACCCAGTGGGAAGCAGTATGTGTAATTAAAGGGACCAGCTGGGACCAGCAGGCAGCCTGGGAAGACATTACAAATCTGAGCAGCAGAGCGCTCAGCAGCCAGGTCTGCTCTCATGTTACCGCAGGTGGGAGATGCGATGGCCTGCAATGCAGTGCTGTAGCAAGCTTGCGCCGACGCAGCGCTGCCCGGAGGGTGCTTGGCTCCATGCTCTCTGGTGGGCGCATGCGCAGCAATGCTGCATGCCCCTTCCCCAGCACAGCAAGGTGGGATCTCAGGTTACCTCCTTTCCCCTTGGCCCTGGAGGTTATACTTCTTACGCAGACCTGGATTCTCAGAGAGAGCCAACCTCTAATTCCAGTTCGTTCCAGTGAGGATCAGACCTTAGATTTAAGTGTTGCTGCGCAGACTGGGCACAAGCTAAAGGGTGAAGCCCTCAGCTGGCTTGGATTAGCTGCTCTCTGCTGAAAGATCTGTAAAACTGCCCTGCCATATCAGCTAGAGATTGGGATCTTTTTTTTCCTCTTAAATCCCTATTTGACCCTCGCCAGCTTTCCTGTCCTACAGACTTGTGGTGCAAAGACAAGCAAAACAAGGGCACACTGACATTTCATCGGTCTCAGTCACTGGTGCTGCTCCTCTACCCGAGCACTGACCTCAACCCTCAGCCGACACCAGGAGCCAGCGGGAGAGCCGAGGGGAGACGAGAGCTGCAACGTAGCCATTTCTGGCTGCTGCTTCTCAGCCTCAGGAGCCCCCCACGGGCAACCTCAGAGTGATGCAAGGCTGGGCCAGTTTTAGCAGCCCCCCAGCATCTCCCCAGCCCCAGGCAGTGTGGGAGGGTGGCCAGAGTGGTCGCAAAGCCAGGACAGCAAGATACCCTTGTGGGGACTGCGACCTCCTTCCCCATGGCCCACGTGTGGGAGGCAGTGCATTAGTCTGATTCCAGGAAATAAATTTCTTAATTCAGCTACAGTTGCAATTAATCCAGGTCACTGCTCACACCTTCTATTCAGCTTCCTGCAGTCATTAAAGCTGTACAAGGGAAGGTCTATTATGAAGAACCGCTGATACAGTTCACCGTCAGGTCACGGTTATTAATGGGCCTTCACCTCTAAGATGGCAACAGCAATTTCAGTCCTGTGCTCTGCCACACGCAGGAGTCGTTCCAAGACCCGGCTGCGCTGAGGACAACAAAGCTCTCTTGTGTCCTCCCTTTCCTGCCCTGTAGGTAAAGGGAAGGTTAGTGATTACAGAGCTCTGAAGGTTGGATGCTGGGATTAGGAGGGTCTTTTAGGTGAACAAAACCCTCCACAGGATGGATACCTGAAACATTCATCTCACACATGCAGGGCTCTGCAAGCAACACTGTGACTAAGGTCTGTAGTAGTAGACTATTTGAAATATTCAAAAAACTTCCCCAGATGCAAATGCTGCACCCCCTCACATGTGTCAGTGAGAACTTTATAGGCACGCCTTGAGAAATTAGTGAGCTTCTTTCTTTTTTCTTCTCCTTCTCTTCCCCCCTTTTAAAGGTCAAAGTAGATGAGAGCCTTTCCTTGGACCACGTAACTCGGGACAGAGTGAAAATGACCCAAGGACGCAGGCCACCCACCAGAAGCCACCTGAAGGAGGTAAGTGCACACCCCGACTTGGGGGGCTGCAGCGCCCTGAAGTCAGCCGCAGGCATGAGCAATCTCCCCCCTGGGATCAGCAAGAGCAGTACCTGAGCAGGCCTTTCCTTCCAGGTACATATAAAACCCCAGGGAAAACCCCAGGTGCATGCAGCCCCAGGAAAGCTCACACAGGAAACAGCCTCCTCCGGGGAAAACACCAACAGCAGCTCTTTAACAAATCTCTGAGTTCCCATAGATTGGTAGCTGCTGCAACATGTTATGATATATTGAGCTTTCCATAACTCATGGGCTGCTTCACTGTCTGCTGAGAGCCATTACAGTTTCACTTTAATCAGAAGAGACCGAAGCTCCTACTATATTTATTTTCTAAGAAGCGATGGTTTTGTAGCCACGATGGTGTGAAGGTGCAAGAACTGCACGGTTTGTGGGAAGAAACTATATTTTTTTCTTTAACTAACTGGAAAAAGAAGACAAACTTTCAGGCTTACAAGCCCTTCTTCAGGTCTGAAACAGAAGACATTATTCTCCAGGGCAGTTTTATAGACTAGCCTGTCTACCTTTTGATGCTTTTCTGCATCTGTCACTAAAAAAAAAAAAAAAGGAAATCAAAACACCACAAAATAAACCTGTGGTTCATTTCTATGGGAGATTCTTATTAATACATGATTCCTGTGATTTATGAAGCAGTTTGCACAGATCATGTATTGAGATTTTAGAAGAGTATTACGCTAAACCAATCAAGGTTTTAAATCAAACCCTCCTTCTTCAAATATCGCAGACCCTGACTTATGCCTCCCTACAGATGACCCTAATACAGACAGTGAGACACCCCAAAACTTTTTACTTTGCATAGAAATCGAGGTAGAGTGTCTTTTCTGGAGAAATGCATAGGAATAAATCAGAAATCCCTATCCATCCCTCCAGAAAACAACAGAACAAAACATAGCAAAAATAGCAGAAGCAATAAAGCATGCATTCTCTGTTGTCTGATATGAGTCCCGTAAAGTAGGAAGCCATTCCCTAGGAACTAATAAGATCTCGCTCCCCTACTCAGCTCGCTATTTTCATGAGATACCTCGGACATTAATATCTGTAAGACCTCTCACCTTTAGCCAAATACAGGGGAAGCTGGCTTACAAATTCAAAAGCAGGAAGCAGGGGAAAGGGAAGGGATGGGACCTGCAGAAAGATATGTATCACGGTTGCTTTAGTCTCACGGCCTAAAAGAGGTTTCAGCTGCACAGATGCACTTCCAGAATTCCTACTGCAATAATACTGTTTGTCATGTTCCAGGCCTCGCGTTTCAGCTCTTACCAAGGCTCTCACCTTAAGTTTGCTATTTTTAAGTGTTAATATTTCGGATTGAAACAGGTCCCACGTGAGCACTGGAGACTGAGAACATAACATGTGAGCTGGTGTTGAATCAGATGGAAACCCCTAACTACTGAGCTGCTATAAGCATTAGTATTGGGGATAACTTTACAGTCTCTATGTGGAAATCAGATGAAGGGTTAGGAACAGGAGGAGGTTTGCATATTTCATTCCCAAGTGGGAATCAAAGACCAGGCAAAGTTTGTATGCTCTGAGTTATCATAACCATCCAGGTCCCAAGGAGAAGTATTCTTGAATCAGCCTGAATGAGGTCTGAAAGGCTGAGGATAAGCCCAGACCTCTGTAGCAGCCAAGGTTGGATATGGAAACCTGTACACAGTACCTGTTCTCTTATGAAACTGGTATGAGGATGCAGCAAAGATGCTGATCAGGCAGTTAATTTATTTTATGAATAACTGGAAAAAAACAATAATACCTAAACAGAAGTATCTGCCTTTTCTTTAAGAAACAAAAATCTCAACCATCAGTAAACAGAAACGTAGCTGTTGGCTGTAGTATAGTGAAGGAAATGGGATGAAAGATGATTTTCAGTGTCAAAGCAGTCCAGGGTAAGGAGAGGTCAAGGCCAAGCAGCCAGGATGCAGCTTGCCTCTGGCTCTCTTGTGGGCTGGAAAGGCCAGGGAGACCTTAACTAAACGCTACACTGTGCGAGTCTGGCCCTAGTTGTAACTGTGCTTCTTTCTAGCTTAGGGTCCCTCACACAGGAACTGTCACCGCATTTCTTTCTCTGCAGGATTGAGCTCAGACTGCAGGGTCTTTACTAACTCCATCTTCTGTAGTATAACTACCCTACTGGAGAGATTTGCACACTGCCTGTGGTTTGAAGGAGGACTAACTGGCTGAGGTTTAGCCCCAGTAAGACAGTGATGACATCAGGTTGGAGGAAGCAACCGGAAGGCAATGGCCTTACGTTAGTACCCCTGGCCAAGCGATCCCAACACACATTGACAGTCCAAAGATAACTTGCTTTATCTGTTCAAGTAAATAGAACAGTCTTAAAAGCAGAAAGCAGCCGTGCTTTGGGAAGGCACACTGTAAATGAGGGGGGTCGAAAGATCCAGCTGCCACAGGACAAAGAATCCAAACATGGCAGAGCTGACTGCTCATAACTGAGAGGAAAACAGAACTGGTTTCTAAATGTCCTTCTTAAAGGAAGCAGTAAAATAAATTCTGCAGGGGGGTCCTAATTCTTGACTGCTTGTGGTTATTGGCTTTGATATTCTTGTGCAAGTTGCTGCACTATCAGGTAGAAAATAACTCAGCAGCAAGAACACTCATGACATTCACATAATGTGGTGATCTGCAGAAGAAGTGGGGGTATGCAGAAGGATGGAAGTGCCTCATTCAATGCTTTCGAGATTTGCTGCAGTGTAAATGCTTTGACCCTACTTTCTTCTCTGTCGGGTGGAATGCTCAGGACTCGTAATTATCATAGCTCATTAAATTTTGGCATATCAGATCTCACTGGGTTTCACTTAGTAGATTAATGCTAGTTCAGCTTGCTAGGGCTGTTAGAGGGTAGCACAGGGTGATACTGCATGGAAGAAGCACAAGCTCCAGATTGCTCTTGAGCTATAGAAAAAGCTGCTTTCAAACATCCCGTTTGCCATCAACTAGCTACTCCTATTTGCAGTTTTGACAGCTGTAAGTATAAAAAGGGGATGGGTGTGTGAAACAGTAATCCTTCCCCCTTACCTCACAACTTGAGTTTTATTCTGGAAGCATTTGTACCACTGCATTCACAGCAATTCCTTGAAGTTAAAGGATTGAGCATGGAATTGATGATGGGACAGAAACTGAAAAAGCTCTCTCTTGTGTTTCAGGCTGCCAAGTCTACATCAGATGGTATCCTGAGACTAGATCTGGATATAGTGGACAACGGACCACCAAACTTGGACTCCACTATCAGCGAAAGTGACAATCCCCCACCTCAGAAGGAAACTCCAAAGCCACCTATGCCGCCTACAAAGCCCACTGACACAAAAGAAAAACAAGATGCAGAGAATAGCATTCCCGACCAGGAACATAAAACACCTTTGTCTCCTCCATTGCCTCCAGATAAGAAGCTTAAGGAAAGTATAGCATCAAAGGACAGTGCCAATGCCATGGAAGAGGACTCTGTAAGCAGAGAGGAGAATGTGGAAGGATCCAAAGCACCAAGTGAGGAGAACATAGAGACCCTCATGGAGGTCAGCAACAAGGGCACAGCAAAAGCTCCAATTCCTCTTCCCAAGCGCGTGCCAGACAAGCTAAAAGTAACTTGGGACCAACCGGTCCCTGAGCCTGAAAACACAGAAGACTTGAAATCATCAGCAGATGGTAGCAAAGAGAATCTTGTAGAGATTGCCACAGCAGATGTTACAAAGCCTCTTGTTCCTCCTAAGGTTCTGTCAGAAAAATTGCTAGCCGCTATGAACTCCTGCCAGGGTGACGTGGAAGCTGACGGTTTGGAAGACCTGGAGTCTTGCAGTTCCAAGCCCCCCATGAATGGGATCGAAGACAGTGAAGTAGCAGAATCCACATCTCCAAAAGCTGAAACTGAAGAAGGAAATGAGAGAACCTCTGAAGAGAAGGAACAGCAAACATTAGCAGAACAGAGAGAGACTTCCTTAGTTACAGAAACATGCCATGAGAGTGTAAAAGTGACTACTGAGAAGAAAACATCTGTAGAAAGCACTTCAGCTCTCAAACTTCGCAGTTCTTCTCTGGGAGACTTGCTGTCTGATTCCCAAACTACACAGAGAGCACTTCCAAGTCAAGGCTTCCCCAAGCTTTCCCATCACTATGTAGCTAAAATGGAGGAGAAGGTTGCTAATGAAAGGGAGAAGACAGAAAAACTTCTGCAGAAGGTTTTACGTGGAGGTTTGGAACAGGCCCAGGAAGGGAATGGACCCCCAGCGATGGCAGAAACGTTACTCAATGAGGCAGTAGAACAACTTCGGCAAGCTACACAAGTCTTACAAGAAATTAAAGATTTTGGAGAACTGAAAAAAGAAGCAACAGAGAAACAGAAAGGGAAGCAAAAGGATCTAGTGACTCTTTATAGGAGAAGTGCTCCCTGATATACTCCTCCAAGAGACTTCTTTCTTAAAATAAGAGCTAAACATGTGCCATTTATGAATTGTACCACTGCTAGGCCAGTGTTTAAAAGATGGTGTTTTGCTGTGCACACACCACGTTTATGGGACAGAATTGAGCTTTCAGTTATAGCATCTTTCTCTCTTTCTTCATGCTGTACATCGTAGCCCAGTTCTAATCCTCTTAGCACAGTAGAAGGTTACAGGACATTGAACAGTTACGAAAATGTGAATGTTCTTTAAGGACTCGGTCCAAAGTCCTTTCAAGTCAGTGGACCGGGCCTTAAAAATCACTGGCGACTAAACTGAGTCAGATTTTTTAAAGGAGCAGAAAATGGCTATTCTGGCAAGAGCCCTTGGCTATCTGTGTTTACAGACATGCCAATACCCAGATTACACTGGCACCTGTCTGGTTTTGCTACTAAAATCATTAAAGGAAACCGAGTCAGAAAAAATTTTACTAGTTTGTTCACTTGCTGGCAAGTTTTCCTGGACCACCTGGACCAGTGACATCTGGGAATGTAAGGATAAATGGTTTAATCTTCTCCAAAGATACTCACAAAACCACATCCACTGTTAAAAAATGACCTCACACAGAGGCAAACAACACTGGCCAGCTCCTGACTGCAAGCAGTGTTCACAGATCTAGAGCAGCTGTACGAAGACACACTTCTGATTCTGGCTGTGCAAAGCTTTAGGTGTTTGCTAAGCACTGTGTAAGTGAATGAAAGTCTCAATGCATCATTGCCAGGCAAGTATTAATTGTTCCCATTTTATTAGTAGGGAAACAGAGGCAAAGATGCAGAGCAGGTTACACTTAGCCTTAGAAGGCGTGCGTTAGAGCAGCACAACACATCTGTTTTTAAGGAACGTAACTATCTGATGAGTTCCCTCACGATAGCTGGAGCAATTAGCCAGATGTTTGGAGAGCTTATGTCTTCCTAGGAGAGCCTACCATTAAGAAGCTCGTTCTCTAAGGATATATGTTTCTTTAGCTGTAGGCTCTCTCTCTTCATTGCCTTAGGATGTTAACTGACAGGAGCGTGCACATCAGGCAAGAGGTCTGGATGAAATCCTCCTTCCTGTTATTTGAACAGTTTCTTACCTGCTGTGTCCTGGCTAGCCTGAGAGCCATGGTTTGGCACAGACATCTGTAATTTGAACAACTGTTTAAATGCTGAGTACATGGAGGGAAAGGCATTTTGCACACACGGTTTTGGGGCTGGGCCCAGTGGCTTAAGTGTATTGAAATAAAAAGGCATCACTACTCAAGGGTCTGAGGAAGATACTGCAGAAGGCTCTGGCATAATTCCCACAACTTCTCCCCCCACCTGCTGAAAGCAGCCACAGTTCCCTTGGTATCTAGTGATCAAAGTGGTGATAAAATCCTGTCTTTGCACCCCTGCTGTGTAGCCCTGTGCCTGAGCTGGTTTCCTGCCCCATTCTCAATAGTGTTTGCTCTGAGGAGAATCATATAACATCCTGAAGGAGACCTTCTTTGCTTGAGACTCAGAGAGCGCAGAAAAGGGCAATCTTTACAGCCTAGTTTTAAGGAGTGACACTTTATCTATGCTCTTTTCTCCCATTTGCCAGCACTGCACTCTTAGCTCACCAGATGGTTTTTCTTCTGTTCTTCCTTTTATGATTTTGCAGGATCCACAAGGCTGCAAGGGGCTGCAAACACCTCCCACAGCAGCAGCCCAGTAAAGCTTCTTCTGAGCCTCTGCTGAGAGTAGGCAAAGGGCAGTTCAGTTCTGAGCACAGCAGTGTCATCTTGGTGCTTGCAAACGTTCATGGTTTGCACCACCCAGAGCCAGCAAGACAGGTAGTCACTAGAATAGGTGCTTTTACTTCTTTTGATTAGAACAGCCTGGATTTCAATGGTCTGTCCCTCTCTCAAGCCAGCCATAGACATTGCATGGAAAATCACTTGTTATTCTCTCATATGGAAAATTCTACGCAGTCAGACGCTCAGAGCTCAGGTGCCAAAAAACTTTGCTTTGAGACAAAAAGATTCCTAAGTCCTGAGCCCACTCCCAGGCATGTGGCCCAAGAGCAAACTCTGGATCTGTGTAATTTGCTGCTGTAGATTCAATGTGAACCACAGGTCTTGTTCACCTTTCAGATATACTTTAGGACAAGGGCTAATTTAAATAGAGACAATATTCAGTGCCTATCTGCTATCTAAATGTATTTTTCTGCATGTGCACTTTTGTTTACCGAACACTGTGTGGTATGAAGGTGAGCTGTCAGAACCTGGTGTGCACTGGTCTAGGGACATCAGGTTCAGAGAGCAGGCAGGCTTTTGCAAGGCACAGTTATATAACAAGAGATAAACTAGATGGGGAAAAGAAGATCATGCTAACCGGAAGACACACCAACCAGGGCAAACTCTGGGTACAGGCTCATATCCCAAAGTTGAAGCCAGTCCTAAACTTGAGGATGGGCAAATCAAAGCCTGGAACTGAAAATCCTTGAGAATGGAAACTGCTCATGGGATAACTTAGTCCCCTAATACATGCAGATGCTTTTGCTCTCACAGGTGTTTTCTTGTGGCAGTCTTGACCCATCTGGCAAATGAAAATACTGAGACATCCCTACCTGTTACAGCCAGACCTACAGGATGTGCTTATATTTACTGTATATTTTTATATAGTATTGAATATCCTAATGAAAAATGAAAAAGTGTCTGACATTTTACTGAACACCCCTCAGTAGGAATCTTAATAGAAAAAAAACCTATACTTGTTAGGAAATGGGCAAGCTAAATCATTTTACAAGCGATGGCTAAATACTGCATTTGCTGTACTAACAGAACCCGCTAGATTGTATTATGTCTTGTAAATAAGTATAACTTAAGTGGACTCGCCATAGCACTCAGTAACTGAACTGCTGAAAACATTGTGTTAGGGACTCTTTGTTTTCAATTATTGTTTTTTTAATAGGGTTAGCAGTTTCATCCTAAGACGACTAGCCCAGCTGTAAGCCTGATTCACCTGGACTTTATAGGAAGCGATGCACTGTGTGCCTTCTGCAGTTTTCCCCCTTGCTATTCTCATCCTGGTCATGAGCCAGTCTCTGCCTGAGGCAGGAGGGTGGGTTATTCTGTAACTGCCTTCTAGAGCTTCTTACATGCTCTGCTGAAAACAGCACTGCTGGCCGCACTCAGAGACAGGATCCTGTTCTAGAAAGCCTTTGCTCTGACCTTATACAGCAACTCCATCTTCAGAGTACATCCTGCCACCATGCACTTTTTTTTTTCTCCCTTTTAACTTACTCATCTAATTCCTGACTGTACTAAGGCTGCTTTCTTGTGCCTAAAATCCCTCTGGGCATGGAGAAGTGGGGTGCAATTCTGTGTTTCAGGCTATGCCACCAGGTTACACGCTTGTGACAGGAAGGAAGTGAGCTTGCAAGCGAGCAAACGTGGCCAACGATCTGAAAAGCAGCTGCTGCGGCCAGTGCAAAGGCAGCACTTTGTCTCCTGCTTGTAAAGAGCTTTAAGATTTGGCAATAAAACCCCCTTTTAAATATCAGCTGTTTAAGAGCCATTTGTCCCAAACGGGAGCAAAGACGACTCATCAGGACTGGCACACTGCAGCTTTGCTGCGCAGGAGGGCGTGTTGCACAGGCTGCGGTCAGGCTGGGGTGAACTCAATGCTGTGCTAACCACAAGCCCGGAGGAAGGAGAAGCACTGGGCGCCGTGGCTGGCGCAGAGCTGGAGCTGCTGTATACAGTGCAGTTCCCAAGTCATCCTTCCCTGCCAGTCAGCTGCACTGGCCGGAGAGCGTGGCTGGGGCCTGGACCATCTCCTCCTGCAAAGCAGTGGGAAGTATCCAAGCAGAGCCAAGGGCCTGAGCTAGGAGGGAAAGCTGAGGAGCTGAATTGCTCTTCCGTGACTGCCACATTTGGGCTTCCCTCAGAAAATCTCCTCTCTGCCTCATTTGCTCCTGTCCTGCCAGCTGCCCTGGGAGTACCTGAGCTGAAATAGCCTCGTTCCCTGCCTGTGTGCGCCCCTCTCCAGCCCTCTGGTGCCTAGCCAAGTGCAGTCTCTCGTACTACTATCTGGGCTGTCCTTAGTATCTTCATGCGGCTCCCTGGAGTCTAAAAAACATTGAGCTCATGCTGCAGTCGTCCCCTTGGTGGGGAGCAACACTACAGCCTCCTTCCACTGCCCAGATGCCAGTCAGTCACAGGAAGATAGGAAGTTGCTCTCATAGCAACTGTTTCCGCTTTCCTTCTATCAAACTGGGTAGAAACTGGCCAGTTGGTTCAGAAGTTACGAGGAAGCAGGGAGAACAGCGCATGTATATTCACCATCCTATTGCACAAGCTTTGCTTTGTTTAGGTTAAAAAAAAAAAAAAAGTGCTTAGCAAACCCTCTAACCGCTTGCTGGGAAGGGGACAGGAGCTAAGAGTGGGGGGTAGTTCCTCAAAGGAAATTCCAATACTCTGTGCTGATTGCTACAGATAAATTACAGAGAAAGGCAATCTCTTCCTCTTACTCTGAATAAGAGAACAGACAAAATATCACATTTTGGCTTTAAATTGATGTTGGTAAGGTAGGGAAGTGTCTAGCACCAAGTAAAACCTAGGAAACATGATTAAAAAACCCACACTAAGAAGACACAAAGTATTGGCATATGAAACATTCCCTTGACTGTTTTTAATCAATGGATAGTCATAGATCACCAGTTAGAAGAGACTGTGTTATCACATAATCTGAAATGGAAAACACAGGTCCCTAGGTTTCACCAAGTGATTCCTGCAGAACTCAGTAATTTGCAGATGAAAAAGAGCAGAAAGAGCTCTTCCAATCACAGACTGCCAGAGGATTTACCACAGCGTTGGCTAGCCTATTCTGATGACTGATTATTCTTGCTATTAAAAAATGTGTGTTTTATCTTAAGTATGAATCATCAACAGTGAAGCTCTCCAAGATTTCCCCTTCCAACTTAAAAGCTGGAAAAATATCAGGCATAGAACACATCCACAGTGTTTAGAGAATGAAGATCCCTGTTTTGTTATGCTCTGCAGGCTCACATGCTTAAAAAAGCCAGTGTTTAATTTGTTCCAGGAAACTTAGTCACAGCATTCCTCTAGTACCTTACCTCACGGCTATGCAACCCATAATATTCCTGTGACAACAGCCGAAATGATGTTACAAACTATTAACAATTTCATTCTCAGCAGTAATCCTACTGTCTGAGGAGAATGAGAGGTATTTTATGCTATGCATTGTTATGTTAAGCAATGTATTTCCATCCTCTCCTCCCTGCCTACCAGCTTCACTCCAGAGAGCAGATGAGGCTTGGCCCTCGCACCTCCTGCTCTTCAGCTTTGCAGTCCCCTCTCCATGAGCTATCCTGGCTTGTTTGAAAGCTCAGAGTTTAGAAAACAAAGTAGGAGGAAATGCAGAAAGAATCCTACTTCAGTGCACCTTTACTACAGATTATATGGAAAGCACATATGCCTATAGAAAAACAAAAACTTTTGTGGAGTATTATAAAATCCAATCTGTAACAAGTTGTCACAGGAGGGATGGTTGCCAACAACTTATGACATCCACTGGCTAAAGGAAAAAACAAAAGTGTTAATTTGCAGCAAAAGAAGATTGAAGACATTAGAAAAGTCTTCCAGGCACAGGGTGGGATATTCTAGAATGGGCTCCACAGGGGGACCCCTTTCAGTGGAGTTTCTTAAGAGCAGATATGCAGGGTACGTGGGTATATCTGATCCTGTTCTGCACAGGGAGGTGGATGAAACTGTTGCCTGAGGTCTTTCCTGCTGTATCGTTTCTGCTGTTGCTGTTCAGAGGGCCAAAGCTGAGAATTTTACCTGGTTTCTGCAGGACACCGGCAGAAGTCTCAGCAACCAGGCTCAGAGTGTAATAACCCCTACAGGCTATTCAGTTCTTTAACCTTGTTTTCACTCTCACTGGGGATCCTGTGTAGCACTTAGAGCTGCAGGATGATAAATAATGTGGCGCTTCAGAAACCCCTTGAAGGCCCTGCCCACACCTCCTCAGCCTGGCCTGCTCTGCCCAGCTTTTTTCTCTTTTCCTTCTCTCCTGCTCCTGACACCATCCTACCTTCCTGCTGCTCATTGCAGTCCACCCACACAGCAGTCATGACTCTAGCCAGAGTACCGCTGACACGCTCAAACTAGCTAGCTCAGGTGTCATAAGGAAAGGCACAGCTGCAACAACAGAGGCTCAGCACAGGCAAGAAGCCCTCTAAAAGACCTGGGTTGCATACATGTTTTTTTGCTCTACTAATCAGATTAAAGCTAGCAAGAGCACTGTAGATTTGCAGTTATCCACTACTGACCAAGCGTTCTCCCAGGCTGCTCTCCATCAGTTCTCTTCTCTCCTCAGTCTCCCATCTCATGCTCCCTTTCCGTCTAAACTTATTCCTAGAAAGCTCAGCACTGCGTTGATAGCAACTTTCCATAAGTTCTAGTTGTGCCGCTGCCAAGAAAGTCTCCTTACTCATCACCTCCTCTGGATTCATGGGACAGTTCCCACATCCCCAGGGGGGATAAGTTTGCACTTTGGAACATAGGCACGCTTCAAAGTCAGGAAATGAATTTTAAAATGATTTGCTCAAAATAAACAAATGAATGGAACTGAAATGTTGGAAAACAAAACTGGAACTAACTCCATGTTTTTTGACTAACCACTGTATTGGCAGTTCTTCTGTTGCCTCTTCCAATATGAGGACCTCAAGGTGTTTTGTGGGCATGAATGCATTTAGCCTGACAGTATGGTTAGGAGAGACACAGTGGAGTTTCTCACTTTGCAGTGGGAAACTAATTCTGAGAATTTGTTCTTTAATGACTCTTCTAACCCTTAACAGGGATAGGAATGGAACCCCAAATCCTGCTTCTTTGGTCAATTTGACAGTTCAAGAACCATTCTTCCTAGCCCATAAGTGGATAAGACATACTGTGCAAATATAACTGCAAAAATCTACCATATTGCTTATTTAAATGAGAAATAAGAATTTGAAATGTTTTGGAGTTGTTCTGGGGGAAAAGACAAAGTCATCTGGAGCAGAAACCGGAAGGGCGCGTACTACAGAAGAAGTCAAAGGGAGGAGGAAGGGAAGACATGGGTAGGCAGCTCCCATTCACAGAGGATGATGTGGCATACGCAACAACGCAGGCAGATCCAACATCTCCTGCCTCTCAGAACTACACAGCAGGGTTATATCCAGAAATGAGGGTATCTGAAAGCTGGTTCCTGGCTTTCCGTTACCCCTTATTGAAGCATTTAATTCCCTCTTGGTCTGTAAATGGTTTTCAGATGCTCAATGATATTTTTAACAATATTAGTGTTTTCCCCTCCCACCCACAAAAACTCAAGTAGTTTTAGAGGAAAGTTAGTATTTTTTTTCTTCTAGAGAAATCGACTTTGCACAGAAAAAAAGTGCTTCTTAAAAGAGACATGCCAATCAGCTTTAGATGCAAGTTATCTAGCACACCACAGCACACTAGAATATTTATCACTGTAGTTGATAAAGCACCAGGAGATCTCCGGAAATCCAACTGACATGCAAGCCAGTATGAATAACTGTCTCAAGGCCAGGATCTGTGCAAACAAACTTGCAAGTTCCTCTGCTATTTAATCTGCAACAAGAAGTCAGTTCTGAAATACTGGCAAGACACTCTGGGTCTGTTTGGATCATAGCACCATGACAGCAAAGCACGGCCCTGTTCTTAATGTACTTGTAAGTGTCTGCAAGGCACAGCGGACAGGGCAAGACAGGACTCATTTTACTAAAGGGGAAATGAAACTCAAAAGAAAACACACAGCCAGATATCACATGGGGATTGCAGCAGATACAGATTTGAACCTACATTCTCCATGTGCTAGTCCCCAAGCACTTGACTGGCCTTCCTGTCCAAACTGGGCCTCTAATCAGCTCTTTCTCTGGAGCGCCGCTGAATCTTCAACTGCAGGGGTTGATTTTCCTGAGCAAGGCAAACAAATCCAACTTGTTTTCAACTGCCAAGAACTAAGGAACTTCTGAAAGGTTGTCAGTTCAAACGACAGCTACATATTTGAATGACAGTATTGCTCTCAGCTCATCTATACTTCTGCCTTTCTATCCCTGTGGTTTCACAACCACCCCCACCTAAACGTGAAATTAGGGCTTCACCATAATCACTGGCAAGAAATTTTCCGGCAAAACATTTTCAGGGCAAAGCAGCAACTCAAAACTGTTAACAGAGAACTATAGATTCAGAAAATTGTCCTGGTTTTAAAAAAAGTACAAAAAAAGCTTTGAAAAGCTGACATTTCAAAGTAGACAACTTTGCTATGCAGCACAGAACACAGTTTCAACATTAAGTTAATTTACACTTTTTTTAGTTAATTCACAGTAAGAGTTTTAAAGGCTGAAACAGAAATCACGTATTTTGATGGAGCTCATGTGAATGTTTCCTCTCTGCTTACAGAAGTCTTCAGACATTTTTATTTTTGCCTTAATCTAGGCAGGGGAAGAGAATTCAAACCCTTGATGAGTCTCAGAGGAAAGGAAAGCACTTCCAGTCCTGCTTCAGACAGAGAGAAAATGATTCCTGTGCACCTCAAAATGGGGCACAGGGATCCAGCATAACTCTTCTGTGACGGTTTCCTTCAAGAACCATGGTTTCATTCTCAGATGATCCAAGCAAACCACAGGCTGTGGTCCGTTTGTATTGGCTCAAGACAACAGTAGCTACAGAGGTATGGGGTTGGTTTTCTAAGTGTGCCTGTTATTACCCAGAGAGAAAGTGACATTTTTCAAAACAATCACAGTAAATGTACAGTTGTCAAAAAGAATCTGTTCCTCGAACTTGTAATAGGAGTCTGGTCTCATTCCTGTGAAATGTTTGTGTTAAAGAGTGGCACGTCCTTCTGGTAAACAGCTTATTTGGAATTAAAGTATTTTCAGTGCTAAACACAAGAGATGTAAATTCAGGGCCTTGCAGCCAGATCCACCATGCCTATAGCATAGAAAGAGCACAAGCTGTTCTCTGTAGCTTTGTATGTTCCCACCCTGCTCTGTGCAGCAGAGGCAGAGGGCAACTTCAGCGGCAGCCTTCTCCCAGTTAGACATCACCCCTGTGGACTAAGAGATTTGCCAGCAGAACAGAAGGAATTTTCAGGCCTCCAAATCAGGACCCTTGGGGCACCCCTCCCATTCCCCATAGTGAATAACAGCAAATTGAAATGCAGCCACTGCCTACCCCAGTTTCCTGGCATTTAGCAGACACTCGTGTAGGCTAATTATCACCAGTCTTGTACTTCCCAGGGCTCCCTAACTGCAGGTCCACAGACTGGTTCTGCACTGATGCATGGATGAGGGTAGCCTGCCCTTTGTGTTTTGACCACAGTTTCTAGATTCAGCAATCAGTAGCAAACAACAGAAGCCAGCAGAGTTTAATTCTTTTCCAGAGCAACTAGGTGCCCAATGGCAGAGTACCGTGCCTGTAAGTCAGCTGTGTTACAAGCCGTCTCCAGCAAGAACACACTGGAGTAGGAGGTAATTGAGGGCTGGCTCCCACAGGGAATTTTCCCTTAAAAGGATAACTATATTGTCATGATGAAACCAGCTTGCTTCTACTGCCCGCAGAGCTTTTTGCAAACAAGTCTGCCAGAGCTGGGGGTGGCGGCAAGCATTACAGCAGACAGCTAGGAGCAGCAGGGCAGTGGCTGATCCAAATGCTACTGCAGTTCTGGCCTGTCTCACCCATCCTCTCCCCTTCCCATAAAGGGCAGCATAAAATGCAGACAAGCCCCAGAAACTCACTTCAGTGCCACATAACAAGAGGCCAACTCCTACCATCCTTAGGGATACCTAAGTGAGGGACAGACAGCAACCAAAGAAACCAGGATCACAATAAGTGCTTGCATTTAAAATCAGTAGTATTTTCAGGGAGGGGTAGGCAGGATGCCAGCTGAAAGCATACAAAAGCCACACAGGAATTTTCCAATATTTTTCCACCAGAAAGTAACGGAAACCCCAGCTTTTAATTCAGAACTCCATGGAGCAATTCTGATCAAAGCTCTTCACATAGGATCAAGGCAGACAAGGAGACAGCAGAACCCTAGAGCGGCCTCTCACCCAGCCGCAGGCTACCGATAAGGTAGAGCTAGGTTTGAGGTCAAGCCCCCTCCCTGCCAGATCTACACCAGTGACTTGAATCTCAGCTTTCCATATGCCAAAGGAAACTGCCTTAACTCTAAAACAACTACCCCCTTGGCCTGAGATCCTTCCTTGCCCTGTGGACAGCCCACCCAGCTGGAGTTTTGCACTGTGCTCTTCTGTGCAGTGCAGGAAGGGCTGCGGTGTGGTTTTTACATGGAATGAGACTGAAACGGGAAAGCTTGTTTTTGGCCCAGCTGTAGCAACGGTCAGTGGTCACAGGTTCCTATCTCACAACTAAAGCCTCCCTGTGCAGATCTTGGGTGAGATTTTCTGACTAACCGTCATGTGGTATCACTAACACACCCCGTCATGCTGCAAGAGAAAGGAACCTAGAGCCAGTGCCTCCCCACGCCCTGATCAGCGGACAGGGCACACTCCTGAGCTGGCAGTGCAGCAAGGGGCTATGCAAAGTAAAAGACCATCCCTTCCTCTGGGGACTGACTGAACCCCAAGCAGCTGGGGAGTACAAGCATGGGACAGAAGCTCAGAGAGCTGCTGAGACAAATTTCCCAGACTCCTGGACACCAACAAACCATCTTCACTGGAAACGGGATCTACAAGCACTGAGCATCTTTAAGAGGTAGACCACCAGCAACTCCCTTCAGACCACAGAGGTCAGCTCAGAAGCTGCAGTAACTCTGCAGCGATTCCGAGCTCTGTCTGGTGGTGTTCACTCCATTTGGCAACAGCCCATTGCTACAACTGAGAAGTGACAATTTGAAATAGTCCCATTTCAAGAACTCCACAAGCAGCCGTGGAGATTCAGTACACTTCCTTAGAGCTTTAGGAGTGGACTTTACTTTCTAATCAGCCTGTCTCTGCAAAGAAAAGTATAAAAGCCTCAACAGGATAAGCATGTTAGTGCCAATAAACAGAGACTCATCCAGAGATTAACAGCAGAAAGCAGGAAAACTACAGGTGTCTACAGGCACAGACTGGTTGCCATTTGGCTTTCCCTTTCTATGAGTAATACCATGAAAATGAGTAAGGTTCTGCAGCTGAGTCACAGCAAGTGAATGTAAACTTCCTCTCCAGACTAGGAAAACCTGGGCAGGTGGAGGAAGAGCCCTGTATGTTCTTACGTACTAAATAATAAATAAAGCATGGTGCGTGCATGGAGTTGTGCAAGTCCTGCTCCAGAGCCTGGGCTCTGCAAGCATGTCCCAGCGGGAGACCCAGTGGTGGAAACGTATGACAAACATATGACAACATCTGCCTTCTGTTTCATGTGCTCTGTACAGATTACTGCTCTGTACAGATAACCCTGTCCTTTCTCAGAGAGAAAACTGGGGTTTGTGCTTTTTAAAGATCTGCTAAGACCACTTTGAATCATCTCATACTATATCTGTTCTCGCAGTGTGTGCATCACCACATCTTAGCATCATCCAGCAGAGGCTCAAGA